TGGCGGTCGTCTAGGCTTGTTAAGCCATCCTTAGATGGTGGACCACCCTCTCCTTCACTTCCGCACGGTGACAGTGGGCCGCGCCATAAATCAGTTCAATGAGACGTTTTACAGACAAATAGACGCGGTAGCTATGGATTCACCATTAGGACCGCTACTCGCCCATGTCTACATGATCAACTTGGAGAACACTCAGCTGAAGCAATGTGTTAACCACTTGGTTTACTAGTTTTCGATACGTTGGTGACATATGTTTTCTTGCAAATGATCGAGTATGCATCGACGCTTCACACAACAACATAATGTTCACTATAGAACTTGAAAGTAGCAACTCCTTGTCAAGCTTAGATGTCCCGCATCATCAGGACATCAGACGGGACAGTACAGAGGAGAGTACACAGGAAGACAACTTGGAGCGACCAGTGTACCCATTTCGCCAGTTTCGTACCAATGAGCCAGAAACGAAACCTCGTCCGTTGTCTAACGGTAAGGGCGAGGAAAATATGCACGACAGACTCGCTGTCGGATGAGTTGACTTTCATTCGAAGCGTTCTCGAACAAAATGATTACCCGGACAAATTCATCCGGAGACACATGGAGCCACGAGCACCAAAAGTCCAACCAATCACCGCAGAAAAGCGCTTACTCTGCTTGTCACTGCCTTTCAAGGGTAATATGATGGCAGAACGAACCACTCAGAGGCTCTACATTGCAACCGCGAGAACCTGCTTTTCAGCTGACCTCCATGTCACCTTCACATTTACGCCAGTCTTGAGTCAACATCTCAAGGACAGGATACCGAGGTCGAGTATTTCCTTCTGTGTGTACCATTTTTCTTGCTTGTGTCAAGTTATATTGAATAGACAACCACGCGACTTTGAGAGAGTCCGAGAACATTGCCCGGCGTGGCTCTACAATGGCGTCCAAAAGAGAGTAGTCAGCGCGGTGTTGTAGCATTTGGTCGACTCAAATCACCAAATAAATGTGCGAGAGGCATTCCGGCCTATCTACAGGTTATCTGGACGCCACACGCGAGCCTTCCGGTATCGCCTATTAATGACAGCGGAGCCAAGCGCTACTCAGCTCCACAACCGCGACTTGTGTGCTCAAAAAGTTTGTACGGGCTCTACAGCTACCATGGCCTCAAGCTTCCCTATGTAATGAATGACGCCGCGCCTAACCCTTCCACTAATGATGCCCAAGCCAATGTCGTCATTTGTTCTCATTGCCCGGTCAATTCACTTCATTGTTTCGTCGTAGTTAAATATCCTGAGTTCGTTTTATTCCTATTTTTTATGGTGTATTGGCTTGATGCAAACCACCGAAAACAAGCTTGTTTGCCTAGCCGTCTTTTGCTTCTGATCATCACATTTAGTAACTTTGTCATTCGTTCGTCGTCGTCCCCCTACATGTGATCAATCTACATTTATTTACGGGCCGGTATAAATCATATAATGGTCAAAATACAACCCATTACACAAGGGTTGTTTCAGAGTATTTTTCAGATTGCGATTAAGTAATCTTCATTCGATCTGTGTGAATGAGACAGCAGCGGACTAACTGCTATCTAACCATTGACCTACTTATTCCGGAACAAACCTATGAACCAATCCCTATCCATCCCTTTGCGTTTTATCCTTACATGATTTGTACCGGTCCGTAGATGAATCAGTTACAACAATTGTATGCTTCAGACCGGTGTTCTCCATGAATCGCGGAGATTGTTCCATGGGTTGAATCTCGATTCGCAACTAGGTGTGCTACATTGAGTTTTACGAGCCCTGTATACAGAGTGCACTCCGTTTTCTGTCAAGCACGTGGAACAGTTTTAGTAAACAGTATCGGGACCTGACCAATGGAAGATATTTCGATAAAACCTTCTGAGGGTCTTTCGAAGGCATCGTTTGTAATCATTTGGCAAGACGCATCATATTCAAGGTAATGTAATGATAAAAAGGACCCAGTATCACCAACCAAACAAATCGGCCACCATATAAAAACTTTCGTGTGACAGGTATCCGCGCTAAGAGAAACACGAATGTGTTCACCACGTGCTACACCTTATGTGTGCGTAGCCTACAGAGTAGAATTGAAATAAACTGTCGATGACCAAGTTGGGTTGTAGAGGCGCTTTTTTAATGGGGCCTTGGGCAGTATCCACTTAACTCGCGCACGTGTGGTTCCACACTAGCTGTAAGGTACACGTTCAAGCTGTGTACATCGGAAATGAAATGTCATAGATCCAGGTGGATTAAATTGTTGTTACGTGCTGATAACTATGCGTCCAACTAGTCAGTGTGCCGTAGTTAATCCGCTTGCGTAACCGGCGGGGCCTTTAAATCGGCCGTTGCCTCATCAACCACGCTTATATAAGTTTTGTAGGGATATTTAGATGTTTTTTGTCCACAGTAATTCCAAGGTCACCAAGGCTGTCTTACTCTCCGTATTTTCATACCAAGTCGAAATACTACACACTATTCGCGATTCATTGATTTTGACCACAAACTTTTAGGCCAGCTAAAACTGGTTATGAAGAAGTATCTTCGTAAAACTCAACTGTATCGACTGAAAGACACCCTGCGATTTTATCAATTTGCGCTCAGTGCTCAAGAATCGGCGGATCCTTTTACTCGAGGGACACCAGTGCACCCTTTTCATTATCATTTTTTTGAAATTTTGTATTTTTGATGATACCATTTTACTTCATTCGTATTTGATACTGTAATGTGCTCTGAATGCACCCATCTGAGTACATAAAACTTACCTTGACTTGATTTGAAATTAGGTATTTATTTATCTACCGATCACTATGAACACAGACCAATACGCCATTAGGACATTGATGATAATGAAAGGGTTGAAAGTTAGAGCAATTGGAGTATCGGGGACCACGATGGGAATTGAAGAGATGAAGATAGAATTTCTGTGTATGCGTCCAACTTACAAATGTGCTGGCGGTTCCACCAGCAAGCAGTAAGCCTTTGAGCCAGCTAAAAATAATGACAGGGGTAAGCGAACTGAAAAAGAATAGTGACATGTTTCTCGAAATATAGTTGGTGAGGTCATTCGGAAACTTTGGTCATATATTGCGTCGATTTCGCTCCTGCGCTTGGCTTGTACTGACACAGCGGCGCAGAGTTATGATCACAGTGCCGGTGGTCAAATTTTTGTCGGGTTTCCGATGGCTGGTTCTCAAAGGGCTTTTCTGAACCCACTCCGCGAAATTATGCGTCATCCACTACAATCAACCATCACAATTCACTAGTTGGAAGTTCACAAAGCGTCGCGCTCCCTCTCTCACTGCGTAAACAATATTCCTCGTCATCATTGTCGACAGTAGTGTGTTAGTACTTCTGTCTGGTGTTTCTACATGGTTTATCCTGAAGTAAATGGATTTATACTGACAAAGATAATTTATTACAGACCGTATAGCTTACATACAAATATCTTCAAAGTAGGACCCTTGTGAAGTCGCCCAGAGCTGCCAACGTTCTTTCTATTGTTTGCACCCCCCCCCCTTGGAACTCATTCTCTGGTATGATGCGAGGGTACCTCGTTGTGGTGTCTTGAATGACTGCAACAATCTGAAAATGATATCTTTTCATAATCCTCTCCAACTGGAGGAACAGGAAAGAGTTGCACGGAGATAGGCCTAGGTTTTACGCAGGCTGTGGCAAAGTTGAAATTTGTTCCTTAGTCAGGACCTACCTGGTCTCCAAGGCAGTGTAGCTCGACGCGTTGTCATGGTGAAGGATGCAGCAATCGGCAATCTCAGCGCAGACGTGATGCGCTCTTCGATGAAGTCGTCAAAATTTCGTAAACTTGCGTTTTGGGCAAGTTTAGTAACTCCGCTATTAATCACGCACACTGTTTCTTCGATCACTGTTCCAACGGTCCCTCACACGGACCTCGTTTTTCTTTTTTTGGTGGATGGCCGGCGCACATGACTCTTGTCTTCAACATCTGCTCTCCCTTTTCCGGAAGCCTTATGCCACTTAAACACCATCGAACGACTCAAACACTCATTGATGAGTGCTATTTTTAACATTTCCAACCTCCCTGTTTCGGATTTCCCCGGTTTGGCACAGAATTTAATTGCATACTGCTGTTCGATGGGGCGTTCCATTTTTTCTATGACGTCACCTATACAGGGATTTGTTACTTCCCCACGCTTCTCACTCTTCAACTGCTTGTCGACCAATGGGACTGGTTGCGGCGCGTAGCTACCACCCCACCACCACCCTAATTAATCACAGATTTCCCCATCCATGGCGCATGCACGAAACTACAATGCATGTCCAATTATTTTCTGGACAAACCCTACATACCATGACTTTTGTGTGGGCTAGGATACCGTTATGGTTCCAAAACCTTGTCGCGTTACGGTGGGAATACGTCACTGGCCTGCAAGATGGACCGACCTTAAGCCGCCTTGCTGAAAAACCAGAAGAATGATTTTGTCTCATATCTTGCATCCCACCATTTTGGTGTGAAAAGGTCTAAGGCACCCAAAACATCTGGCATACCTCACTGGATGAGAAAAGCACGCAAACTGTCACCTCTGGTTTGATTCCAGTCTCACCGCGATAACAACATCACGGATAAGCCGTGTTCCGCTCGCAAATCATGCATGCCACTATGTTTTGTGTTTTTCTGTTTTCTCCGCCTCATGTACATTCCAACAGTGTCCTGCTCCTTATATGGCAGTGAACCACCGGTACGGAGTACCGATATATTTCTGTATACATTCTCTGTAAACATTTTACGACACGATTCCGTGTGTTTATTACTTTTCTCAAAATGTGAGCCTTCCCATTCAGCTTCTGATCGATATATCTGACACCTCCTTAAGTGCCCTGACCGTGTCGAAGCGGGTAGGCGCCTAGTTCATCTCAATACTGGACATGGTTCTCCCGTTTATTTATTCATTGGTTCTCTCCTCGTGGTTTTTGCCTGATTGTGTGTCACATCAGTGTTTTCCTCATCTCCTACTCCTACAGCCTACTGTAGATAACGATTTGGGCACCAAGAACAACGTGGTCCACGTGAAATCATCAGATTTCGATGTCATTCAGGCACTGCAGCTAGACCAAGCCAATAGCCGACACCGCGCCAGCTCTATGGATTCCGGCGGAGTAAGTTTTTGCCCAATTCGGTCTCCCTCTGCACATGTATCTGTGCTCCTTGGTCACATCTTAGTTGTGCATTCAACTGTCATTCATCGGATTATTGCTTATGCGCCGCCGCATCGGTGGAATTGTCCTCCATTTACTAACTCATTGGAGCGGAGGTAGAGCTGAAGGGCATATGCGCTTGCTTCACTAAGCTACGGCACGGATCAATGTGGATACGTTTCGGCTAATGTCGCCATCCCACTCCCCTGTCGCACCTTTTCAGCTGTGATTTGGACACCACTTTCGATGTTGCTGCATGTATGTTAGTATATACCCACTTGCCTGCTCTGTATACGCGAAAAGACAGAGCAAAGGTGACCGCAGTGCATCCGACTGAAACCTCGACGACATTTTGCTTTTCTCCCTCACAGTGTCATTGCTTTGGGGAACTTCTTCCCAGCGCACTTTATTAATTCCCCCACTCTATCATTGTTCACAAGAGGATTTGACGAAACACTGGCACATTTACACTACGTGATATGGCACGTAACCATAAAATGACGGTATTCGTGCGTAGCTAACAGTGGATTGTATCAGTCTGCCCCTAACCTCTACGCAGGAATACTTGCATCTGTGTTACTGCAAACCTCTTGATACGTTCAGCGACACACACGTTATTTTATCCACTGTGTTTTCAACTTGTGCTTTTCACCCTAATCACCCCACGGGATTTGTCGAACATTAAATTTTTCCATTTGAAAACCATTATTGCACAATTGTACAGCAAGTACAACGCACCAGAATCATCCACTTCGCCTTTGAGATAAATCCGATTCGTCCTGTCCACTTCTTTTAAGGCAGAGGTTTTGTCGATTGACCGCTTGAAGAACTTGGAGCGCGTGAATGATGCAGTTCTCAGGGCATGTGACTCAATTCCTATGCGTGCCCTAGTTGAAGATGCAGATTTTGAGCGCTGTAGATTCCGGCCGCTAAATAACCACTCAATCGGTTCTCTTATCTCTGTAGTGGTACCACCCTCACTATCCAAGTCGCCTAACGAACCGCTGAGCCTATCGACGAGACTTGTGTAACTTTTTAACGCCTCAGCCATCTCGGAAGATGGCATGATGTCGATTTATCGAACAAAGTGCACTTTGGTGCAATTCGGCCAGAGTTACTGTATGAATCGAAGACATGCGTCCGGTTGATATACTGAAACCCTCCACTTGCAATACGATCCTAGTAATCGGATTGAGCGAGGTATCAGTAGAGATTGCGTGTCGCAATTCAACCTCGTGGCGGATACCCCAAATTCAGATTAGAATTCCTTACCACTGTGCCAAGCGTTTCTCATGGATCTTAGTAGCATATAATGATTAAGACGTCGGCCGTTAACCATTAGGCCCCGAGTTCCACCCCAGCTCAGACTATCTCTATCTGGTGGGTCCAAAGGAGGATCAAACCGATCATGGGGTGTCATTGTTGAGAGGAGCAACACCGGAACACCAATCCATATCGGAGACTTTCCGCTTTTAAGTCGTTAAAGACTGTTTATCTTTGGTCATCTTTGGTGTGCTTATCCGGTGCTTATCCGATTTCGACTATTTTGAACCGAACTCTCTGGTAGCCGTGCACTGGGTCGTCTGCATTTGCTAGTTCACGTTTCTCGTCTATCCATCTACAGGCTATCTCGGTGCACATCGTTTTACCGTTGTCACATGTGTGGTTGAGTAAAACGCAGCACTATATATTCAATATCATAACTTGCGCTCGATGAAGCCAATCTTTAGGTAACTGTATACCTGCTCTACCTGTGCTACATAGGTCTCTTCACCCTTGATATTCTCTGTTGTAAGTTAAACACCTACTGTCACGGTTCACTGAATGCCGCGTTATTTTCATGCAGCACTTAAAAACCTTTTTGCCGCCGCCACCCTGCGTCTTGCTGGCAATCAGCTATCCGCATCAAAATGTTGATTATCTGGTGGGTTCCCTCTGATCCGGTCACTGTTATGAAGCTTTTCGCGGTTCACAGTGGTTAGTCTTCTTTAGTTTACTTATCCTCGAAGCATTCCTTCAATTGTGTTCGCTGTCTGCTGTTGGTCTAACGAGGATGCAACAAAACCAAACGTCGATATGGTGGTCCATTTGAATTGCATATACGTTTGTCAAAACGGGCAGTACAGTACTGCCCAGGCTCGTTAAGAGGACACATGGGCAGGAACATAAACAGTGCTATTATGGAACATCTGATCCTAAGCGGACACGAAATTCAAACATCGGATGCGTTTAAGATCTTCTATTCTGTCTCACCACACCATGCCAAGGCTCTCAGGAAGCATTTCTTGCAGATAGCTGAAGCAGTTTCCATCAGATTGACCCAGCTCGAGCTTTGAAAGCAACGAACTTCTCCTACCCTGGCCATGGGGCAGTTCCTCGGGATCGGCAACTAGGCCTACTCTAGACGGCGTACAATCGGCTGCGTGGCCTACCCTAAGTGAATCGACCTAGGCATCGATCTGACCTGCTGACTCCGTTCTTGGCTTAGCTGTCCTCAGCGTAGCTGATAACAGTTTACACGTTGTATGTTTTCTTCTTACTGTGATGGCCTGATGAGAGTAATCGAAAAGAGATCTCTTCGCTATTTGGACTACATACGATAATGTCATGCATACTTGCGTATATCACGTGTTTGTCCGACAATTAACGTTTTCCAACACTTCGGTCTAACGAGTTCGCCGGATACGAACATGTGGCAAGCCTTTGTGTTTGCATCTTCGTACGAACTCACTCAACCGTCAGTCGAAGCACATCCGATATATATTTGCTCGGTTGTCAAGACCAGGTGGTTCGAGTTCACTAGGCTCGCTCCGATGCGGCACCAGAAGGTTTACTGTCTAACACCACCTGGCGGACTTCGATGTACTCGCTCGTTCACCCTCACCCTCAACAGGTGAACAACCAACCTGGGTTACCAATTTTCCAAATTACTTCGAATCGTCAATGATTCCCGTTTCTTGGTGCATTCGCGGAGCAAGAGGTCGTTTTTTCTCCATACGATAACACTAGCTGTGACCATGTCCCTCGAGGAATAGACTTCTTCTCATTATCTCCATACTTGACCGAGGCTATGAAAAACCGCGCCTGCTTGCGACAGCGGCTACTTAACCTTGGCAATGTGCGTGTGCGAGGCTCTTCAGTGATGAAGCCACCCGAAACTACACAGCTACTCATATCAATAAGCCGATCAACCGTTTCGATCGGATGTCCTATGCATGCGAAAACGAGTGTACCTTCATTTCCCTGTTCCTTTTGTGTTCCCTTGATTGTCAGCTATGAGCATGCACTAGTCCTTTTAATGTTCATTTTCATCATCCCTCGTAGCCGGACTCTTTGGGTCACTCTCCGCCGGGCGATTATGGCCACTTCATTCCTTTGGACCCGTCAGAGGTCGAGCGCCGAGTCGATTCGTTTGACTATCGTTCTTCCTATGCCATAGTGCCCGCAATCGGATCGCACATCCAGCCACCTCTGCTGCCCCCTCACTTATTACAGGTTGGTCCACTTTCCTTTCACCTTTGTTCTTGCCGCTACATCGTCGCACGGTGGCTTGTTTCATTCGCACTGCGGACAATTATCAGTAGCGCACATTTTGTCTGCTTTCTTGTTGGTCATGTATCTGACGGGATCCGTACTAACATATGCATTTGTATGTTAATATTGCACACTATGGCATCCTTTCTGATTCGCAGTCTACAGGGTCTGCTGCGTTCTCTGGACTTGGGGTCCAGATTGGCCCGAAAGTGTCTCCCTCTTAGTCCTGCCTTTGGCAGTCAGTAGTGATGTTCTTGTGCTTCCTGATACACGTCAATCCAACTTGGACGGCTTATCCCTCTTCCTTCATCGTTTTCTTTTCCACAGGGCATTTTGAACATGGACACCGGTGCGCATTGCGACCCCAATCTACTCCCTCCACCAAACCATGTCATAGTCAACCACTTGTATGCTCTCTCTATCAAAGTACGTCGGTTCCTTCAGATGTGTGTTGGCTGCTGTAGGCCATTTTCCGCCTTTTTGATATCAGTTCTGCTGCTATTTCTGCTACCTCCACACCCTCATCGTTTTGGTGAATATGTACTGTCTACAATTCGTCCACTGAGTGTTGGCGTGCAGAACGTGTTAGATCTTACCACTTCATTCATGACCGATCTGTTTCAATTTCATATTACTAATGAGTAGGAGAGTTTCAATTGTAATTTTTAAGGTTTTTCCGTCCCAGGGGCACACAAGCTACATAGCATAGCCTACTTCGGAAAAGCACCAGACGCTTTTCGCCCTACTGAGGCTCGTCAGTGGTGTGCGTCCCCTCGGTCCCCCGCTGGGGTTCGAACCAATGACCGCTAGAGGCAGATGCCAACTAGCCAGCAGCTTAAGCCACTGAGCCATGGGGTTGCCGGCTGGGCTACATCATTTGCAAGCTAACTGAGATATAGCACGACGTATCTTCCACTGTCACGCAGCTTACTACAGCAGCTGACAGTGGCTAGTCTCCGAACGTCACGACCCTTTCCATAGACACTCTGTCCATAGCATTTGAAACCAGGAGAGGCTACATTTTATATCACTAATGCGTATTAGGATCTCAATTATAATTTAAGAGCTTTTTTGCAAATTATGTAACCCAACCGATATCCCCCATGGCTCAGTGGCTTAAGCTGCTGGCTAGTTGGTATCTGCCTCTAGCAGTCATGGATTCGAACCCTAGCAGGGGACCGAAGGAATGCTTACCACTGACGAGCCCCAATAGGGTGAAACGCGTCTGGTGCTTTTCTGCACTAGGCTGTGCCATATAACTTGTGAGCTACTGGGACGAAAAAAATAGATTCAATTTCAATTGTTGTATCCGCCTTGAGTTCAGTAGTTCGTGGCGATGTGTTGTAACTCCATACCGCCAATGTGTGCAGACAATCATTGGCAGTGATACGGGGTCTTTCAGAACCAGGACACCTGCTCCGTGAAATCCCGGCAACTTTCAGTTACAAGCGTCTGTTCGCCACACACAACCATAAGAGGTTGCCCCATTTCTTGCTCCTTCTGGTTTCTACGGTAGCGAACAGCACTGCATCTGCTCGTTTACAGCCATCATGAACTGAACAAGTGGTCCGCTTGGTTAGCGACAGCAGAGACGCCACGCACTATCAATACATGCCATGCGATCCAGCAGTTAAGCAGAGCCACCGTTGAACTGGCCTTGGGAGGCCCAGTGTTTCTCCTTCCCATCTGAATGTCGGGTTGGACTTCACTGACCGATTCTTCGTCATTCGCCTCAGCAACGCAATTCACATCGCGTTTATCAAGAAACGAGTTGGAATCTATCATCTAGTAAACCACTTGTCCATTGAAGTTATTTGTAACTGGGAATGATAACTCTTACGGACGAAAAACGTTTTTTATCGGGTGCAAAAAGTTGACAATGACAACTTTTAGCTGTTTCACAAAATTTTACCATGTGCTATAGCCTGTAATCCAAAGAGTTCCAACGTGGTACTGAATAACAGGAGCTGAGGATGACATGAGCTGTCAGCCGGATGACGTGTTGCTCTTGTGTGTTTTTTTGCGGAACAGCCACTGTTTTATGCCCCTTAACTATTCTCTATATGTTAACCTTCACGGCTGAGAACACAGTGAGGATATCCAGCAACGGTTTTTACTACGCAGGGAAATTTATTCGATGACTTTCTTCCATGACGATTTTCTTTGAACCATCGGCTTTTACTTGTGATTTTTTATTCACTCCCTGATATCATCCTGACCAGCGCTACCTTTCATTAGGTATTTTTTCTCTTCCCTAATTTTTCTCTCCTTTTTCTCTTCAACCTCCCCCGATTGTTGTTAATTATCATTATTTTAACGACCCAAGCTATCGTAGGTGGATTCCTAGTGGACTGACAGAACGGCCTATCTCATAAGCCATGACATTTCTCTCTATTCTAAGGCTTAGTGAATGGATGGATTAGCCTTACTGGTCGTGTTTAACACATCCGGATGTGCACACGTAGACTCTTCACTAGCACACTCATCATCTGCCGTGGTGTTAGTAAGGCAGGCTCTACAAACTAGCTTCCACTAGCAGTCCGATCTCTAATCGCTGGTTCATGTTACCAACTGCTAATCCGTGGTGGTAGGTTTTTAGCCTTGTTTCTTTTGTGCCAGCTATTTTGCGATCTTTACGTATCGCATTTAGCCTGTAATATGACACGATTTGCCCAAATGTTTTGGTATTTGACTTAGCTTCACGCATTGTCTTCTCCCCACCTCGCCCCTCCCGTTTCAGGATGGAGTGATTGTACTCAGTGTGATTACCAGATATCGTCAGAAGTTTGTATCCACTGTATTCTACAAACCCATTCAAGATTAACCGACATCGTCTTCGCTTCCTGGTGAAAAATGTGAGACGGACATGTATTACCCCTGTCTTGCGAAGCACTGCTGCAGGATTTTGACAGTTCAGGCTTGTTCATCTGCCTCTTACTTATCACGGTCAATCCACCTGTACAGAGCTTCTTCAACTAGTTGCACAGACCCTCACATACACATTTCCATTCTTTTCCTGCGTTTCCGCATTTGTTTCCTTCATTTGTGCGTTCTATTTTTCATATAATCCATTCCTCCCTCCGACCCCTGAGAGTGCCTGCTGCTAACCAACATTGGACCCAATGCGCGAACCAAAAGGTTTGATTGACGTCCGCCTCCGGTCACTACACACTCTCTGATCTAGTGCCCGTTTTGACCTTCGTTCCCGGAGACTACTTGACGAGTACCGACCTGATCATTGTTAACGTTGACTAAATGCGTTTTCATTTTCCACTGTTCGTCTAATTTTTTGTGTACTGGCCGTCTTCCCCCCTCATTGCCTCTATCTGGGATCACCTTTTCCGCTCTCAACTCCTAGTTCATTACTATTGCTGGCACACCTTTTATATACCGTCATTTTGGTAGTTTCCTCAGCATATAGGACTCAACTGTCACCGCCCTCTCGCATTTGAGTTCATTCGTGGACTCTCCCTTGTTCCGCTCAGGCTTCTCCTCACTCCAACCTTTTTATTCCCACATGTATTGCCCTTACCGAACTTATCTCGCTCACTGCTCTCACCCTTCTGATTATCTTTCCTCCGCATCTGCGACTGTTGTCACCATCGTTACTAGTACTTAGGACTCTGTGAAAAATGCAACTTGACCAACTTCGCCCACCTGCACCTTCCGCTTGTTCTTGCTTTACCATAGGATAGTGTTGTCATATCAATGGGTACTCCGGGAGATTTAGGTCGCTTTTCCTTGGCATTCTTTTATTCGTACTCCTCGCTTTCTCCCTACTACTTGTCCGTTGCAAGTAGTCTACCATGTATGTTGGCTTTACATGTGTGGCGAAACTAGGGCAATTACTAGGATTCTTTCGTCTATTTAAAACATCCTCATTGTATGATTTTTTAAAAATGCAATTGCGTGTACAAGGCATGCATAAATTTATACTGACGCCCTTTTGTTTATTCCTTGCGAGATGACATTCAGCCCAGATTACATTGCTCCATGCATCCAAAAGTCCGTGGCCTCTTTGCCTAAAACACCATGTTGATAAAAATCGAAAAATATTCAAAGAATGTCAAGTTCACTTCAAGTGGAATGGATCACAGCTTAACTTTGTTTCGATTGCTAAGTTAAGAAACCAGTGGTATAAGAAAACGAATATAAGATGATCAGAAATCAGGGTAAGCGAATATATGTTTTCGATAATTCATCTTCAGGCTTATACAATTATACGCAAATCAAAATGTACAGACAGACATTACGAGTCGTTACTACTGGAGCGAGTTAATTGGATGCTGACAGCGCTGTCTGTTAAGACACGACAGTCGACCTCGTGTGACCTCGTGGGTCAGAGGTCACCAGCCGTTTGGGCCAGGGCAGTCCCAAGCCTTTAGTTAGCTTCTTCTGAATACATAGCTCCGGTTCATACAGTCTGATGGCGATTGCTTCAGCGGTTTCTAGTAGTCGCTTACGGACGTAGTTCGAGCGGTGCTTTGGGGCCTGATAAATAAGTTTGAATGAATCAGTGAACTTTGTGGCGTGCCCTGTATCAACTAGGTGTGCAGCTATTGATGAGTTCGCTGTATTTCTACTTCCAGTTCTAAGCCCGACCGGGTGGTGTTCCTTCATTCTCTCAGATAGACGCCGTGTCGTACGACCAATGTATTCCGCTCCACAGGAGTATGAAAATGAGTAGATACACATTGAGTTGGTGCGGACAGGCCTCTTATCCCTTGAGTTTAGTCTCACCATCGGAATGCTAGTGAACTGGATTTGCATCTGCGCTGCTGGATAGGTGCGTCTGAATGCAAACGAAAGACGACGAGTTAGTAGTTCCGTCGCAAACTCGCCCTTGTATGGCAGCTGTAGGAAGATTGGCTTACGCTCTACCGTCAAAACTACAGGCTTTTTCTTCTTATGTTCCATGTTGGCTCTGATGAAGCTTTCCGGATAGCCGTTCTCCCTTAGCACTAAGCGAATGCACTTTAATTCTTCCGCAAGCGTGTCATTCGAGCAGATACGTTCAGCTCGGCTCACTAGGGTCTTTATCAAGTTCCGTTTAAGCCTAAGTGGCACGAAGCTGTAGAAGTTTGTGTACTGCCCATTCCACGTACTTTTCCTGTAGACGCAGCGCTGTAGCGCACCCCCATCCAGTCTTTTCATAGCGACATCGAGGAAATGAAAGCGACTGCTTTCCTCCACTTCGCTGGTGAACTTTATTGCTGGATGGCCTTGGTTGAACGTGTCTGTGAGTTCCTCGATACTTCGAGACGACTGAAGCAAGACAAAAATGTCGTCTACGTAACGGCAATATAAACCGAGACTTGAGATCGTGGGTTTTAGCTTTCCCTGTTCCAGCATGCCCATGAAGACGTCGGCTAGGAACGGACCCAGTGGGGAACCCATCGTTACCCCATCGCACTGCCGATATAATTCGCCATTGAATAGAAACTGAACATTGAAAGTGCATCTGAGCAATAGTTCCTTTAGGATAACCGTGGGTATGCCAACATTAATTTGGTTTACATCAACATACTCACAGATGTAGTTTATGGTCTCAACTAATGGTACGTTGGTGAAAAGTGAAGTAACGTCGAGGGAGCACATGGTTAGATTGGAAACATTTACATCACGCACAATATCCACAAACTCAAAACTATCCTCCACACTATGCACAACAATTCGCTCTCGAATAGGCGTAAGAATGGAAACCAGCTACCGGAATATAAGATGACTGCTTTGTATTACCCAACGACTGATCTGGCTATGCTGTGGTCCAAATCTACGCATTACTCCAACCCAGATTCATCCTGTGAGTCTCTTTGTTCTTTTTTTCTCATTCTATCAGGTTTTTGACGTAAGACAACCAGCCTACGTTCATCCGGATAATATGATCTACACAATGCAGCTACTGCAAGTTCAGCGGCTATTCCAGTCTGCGGCTGATAAATACCTTTTCAACTAATACGAGTTGGTAAACTTAGTATTTTCAAGCACGTTAACCATGAGATTTGCTTCTCCCCATATCCTTGGTCAAATGCGGCCAGGTTTCAGATGTTATCAACGAATACTAACCGGTTGTTTCATGCGTACAGCAATGCTGGCCGTAGCGCCGTGTTGTAGATCCTTCGCAATTCGCTCACTACGGCAGTCTCCACAGGTGATCACAGAGCATTGGAAAGCCACCACAGCGCCTTGGCATTACTTGTATTGACATTCCCGGAGATATGACCGCTAAATGTGATACGGCTAACAAGCTAACTAAATCAATCAACTATTTCGGGTGACTGATGATTGACTGTGATATCCTGTAGGCTTGTGTGCACTTACTTAACTCATATCAACAACCAACGTGCCGAACTGCCGCTGATCCCATGCTTCCTGTTCCCTCTCAAACCCCGCTTGTCTTAACAGAAGCGGTATCTCATCTTCACTTTATACTACGCATCTCGGTGAACTCACTCACTACAACTCCGTCGTGTATCATCGTCATCATGAAGGTTCACATTAGCCTCGATGCTTGGGGACGTTGGAATCGTATCAGACGCGGCTTGCTATTTCCTTGGTCCACATCATTAGGATCAAGTGGTTCAAATCTGTGATCGGTAGATTCATTCAGCCATCATCCTTTTGGCAGTTGCACAACGGGTATTTGTGGTAGCATTTGTCCCGGATGCCTCGCTCGGGGAATTATGGAATTGTGGCTCGATGCAGTCCGATCTGTTCAGCATTTTCGTCCAGAACGTGTGCCATCTAGCTTCTAGTATCTCCTCGCAAAACACACTACGGTACCAAATGTTGTGGCGTTTTCTTTATAGATTGAATCAATTTGCTCTGCGTAGCCTTTCATCTTGCCCGGTTAGTAGTTTTACTCACCATTACGCACTGTTCATTGACACAGAGGGAGCATGCTCTCTTGGGCGGTGTATACAGCACTGCACTTGGGTCTGTCGGCTTGCCCATACCTTATCACTCACTGGGTTGCTACGGTTGAAAACTTCCATCGCGCTTGTTTTGTCGGATCGACGATTTGTTCATCGTAATGAATAGGACAATGAGATTCTCCGTTTTTGAAATCATTCCGGACAAACTTGTCGCGCTGTCGCTTGTCTATCGTATGCTTTGCTTACCTCTACTTCGCATGGTTTTTTACATGGTGTGACACATCTTTCATTAGAGTGCAACCACTTTCATCCGCCATACAACGATGGTTTTTGTGCCGCTGGTATAGACAGAGCACTGAGCATTAGTGTGTGGAACACGTGAACATAAGTCGTCTTTGGAATCACGCTACTCGAACGAGCCTCCTATGTACGCTAACTTAGTTCTGGGGCGCTGCGCCACTTTGTGCATGCGAAGCACGTGTCCAAGATTGTTACACAGTGCATCAGCCTATTCAGTAATTCATGCTGCAAAGTCGTTGGGTCTGGTCCAAAATGAGCTGCGTCATCTGTGCACACAAAGTGTAATGGTCGGCTACCGTACATGGCATCCACTCGCGAAGAGTTGTGAACTCGAGAGTTTTTCCCTCAGACTGACGGCCACGGGAGTCGTGCTAAGATTTTAGCACAGAGAGAAACTGTCCATGCGCCATTCGAAGCCAGTCACCTCGTTGTGAACAGCTGTGGTCAACAGAATCATAAGTGGTCTTCAAATCAAGGAGGACTGGTTATATCGGGGCTCCTGATAAAGCAGAAGACTGTGATGAACGTATCTGAATTTCTTAGTTGTTCCAATTTCATTGGGATGAATGCGCCGCGGATTTTTAATTCAAGTGAAGTTTGTCGGAGGACACAAGATTAGCGCCGCGGCATTCTTTGATCACTTACAACACTGGGATGTCCGTTTGCAACCGCAAGTCAATGCGAGCATTTTCCCTTGCACAATCTGACGCCGAACAGAGTAGTTGGACACGTCTACATAGTGGTCGAAACCAGACACCTTTTTCTGCTTCAGCAGCCGCCACACTCTGTCTGATCTCTTTGAGGATGGGGCTGTGACTTCAAGCTGTTTGTCGCACGCTGGTCCAGGCTATTGTCCGAACATTGTGAAGTCTTCTACCCAAAATGGAGACCGAGGTCGGAGGAGTACCACTGGTCGTACTCTTTAGACATGCGCGGGACTGTTGTCGGAAGTAACTTCAAAGTGTATTTGGTGTTGTTCGCCCGAAAACACTGCACCCCACGACGCATTACGACCTTGTTTGCTGTCATCACATTGAGATAGCAAGCCTCGATCCCGAGACCATTGAGATGTTAGTTCGAACCTCCATCCCTTTAGCCACCATGTCACGACGGCTTTGCACCAATACACGTGTGCTGTTGTCGGATGCTGCAGTGTGGAGGGAACCGGTGTGCGGCTGTCCACCTGGTGGTTTCGTCCGACCTGTTCTTGGGTCAAGCGCGTTGTGCCTACTTAGACAGATATCATGATGAGTGTTGATATCCTAGTTTGAATCCCCTTCTTAATATGATCGACCTCCTCCGTGCTGATGCAGTTTCTCTAAGACTGACCATGCGCGGTGCTCCGATCCCGGCTTGGGAAGCTTATGGGCCGAACATCGAGTACTTCGCAAGCAGGAATTGCACAAGCGGTGGTTCTTACTCACGGTTTGCATTTCGAACGACAGGAACTGAGATCACAAGTGCTAAGAAATTTCGTATTATTGGAGCAACTA